ATTAAATACACTAATATCTGTCATTTAATGAATCATTTTGAACTTGAGTACTGATCTCATCCAGTTGTTTACATTTTTAACTTCCGATACCTTTAGATTGTATTATAGAAATGTTTGAAACACGAACATTCATCTAAGTGCTTTGGAACATAAATCACAATTCCGTGCGACTGCAGGATATAGCATTTACGTAAGGTGGAGCTAAGTGTGACTCTGATATGACAGTGATAATTCCTGGTACAATGTAGTTATAAACCTGTACTGCTGACAAACAAACTTTGCACATCTTTACGAACTAATATACCTACACCACTATCAACACGTTGACTACCATGAGAATTTCGAACGTTTTTATATACTAATACATAACAAAGGCAAACGGTATTAGAAATAATTATTAATCATTTGGTATCACAGTACTCGTATTATGCTGTCATTTAGTTATTCGTCTTACATGAATATTTTTATTCGACATCAATTTTCTTATTGCAATTCTATTTAAGCAATTTGGAAGCTCCGATCACCGGTGACTACTGTGGCAGTCAACGTGTTAATATAAAAAACCTTGCAGCATGCCCCATTTCAACGTATTCGTCATTCATTCGAAAAGCATTCATAAAAGAAAGTGAGTCATGAACATGCAAACCTCGTCAAACTTGGTGTAATACGTTCATTCGTTACGCGTTGAATGAACAGCATTTTCTTTCTGTAGTCTTATCGAATATCTACCATATTTTGAATATTTACGAAGAATACCCCTGAGTTAATGTATATTTATAAGTATCGTTTAAATTTAACTCGACAATCGAGTTCGTGTGGCATCACGATACTTCACTTTAGTATTCATTAATAATCCCAGTGACATTAAGAAAAGAATTTGCGTGATTTGACTCTTGTACATATATTTTCGTTTGATTTTTCTTGCTGAATCAAAGATTTCCTTAGTGAAGATCAGTGTTTAGTAAAATCTTTCAATAACAAATAAGAAGTAACAATAACGAATAAAATTGTATTCAGTAGTAATAAACAAACAATGAATAAATTTTTATTTGAATATTTTTTTATTTGTTATTCGAAATACAAATATAAATATTTATTATGACGAGTACAATGTTTTATTTGTATCGCGAAGATGCCTCAATATTAGGATCTTTTTCACGTTAAAATATAATTGTTTGTATATAATGTTCTAGGATTAATTTTATTTAAGTATTGAATCATAACTTTTAATGATGATCCTTTTAATGAACCGCTAATAATAATTAAGCAATCTTTCTGCTCCATTCCACTACTATAAAGAAATCACACGTCAGATTAGTGAAACAAGTTATTTGAACAAATAAAGGAATTATTCCAATAATTTCAGTAGTCTGTTTCACATAACAAAATTTGTTTATTTCCCCGTATTCTATTCTAAGCATTCTATTAATAAAAATTCGTTAAGAAAATTGTTCTATATAAGTATTTCTTTATTCAAAATAATTCAGTTAACAATCGACCATAGTATATATTTAGACAAACGTTGTTGTTTATATGCGGCCCTCACAGGTGTAGCGTGCAAAATTGGTGTAATTCGTGTAATTGGTTCAACAGTTATACTCTGAAGGCATTGGATTTCGAAAAGCAGCAAGGAAAACGCACGTCCATTTGTATCGTGGGTGTGGTACGCAGCGTGAAATACTCTCGAGATATCGAATCGATTCGAAAGCATTGAACGTATTCGGATGTTCTACACGCAGCTAAGGCAATAGTTGTCGTGGTAATGCTCGTGCCAGGGTTTCTATACTTGATCTTACAATCAGTCGTTTTGATAAAGTTTATAATTTTGTATTTATAAATGTAGTGTATTATAAATAAGTATCCTAACCATTTAATATACGTACATATGTAAATAAAAGAACGATATTGAAAGTTTATTCATCACAAAGCATTCTACCAAATGAAATCATTCCTAACAGACATTCCATTTTTTTAACAGTCAATTGAATTTCATTATTTGGAATTTTATTGTACATTAAACGATTTTCGATGATTTTTAAGAGTTGATATATTGTTTTCTGAAGTAGTTCTTCGAAGTAACTTTTGAGATGTATGTCTTATTTATGAAAAACATATAATTTTTGTTGGAAAATTAAGTATATTTTGAAAACGGCATCACTCGAATTTACATAGCAGGATTCTATTTATTTGAACTTGTCGTGAAACGAAACTATTTGAATAACTGGATATTGCTAGGACAAGAAAAGACGATTCAATTCTTCCTTTCACTAGTGTTTATTCGTTCATATGATATGAGCTGATATTTAGGCAACTGGATTTATCCTAATTATGTTATGTCCAAATATGCAGCCTTTTATTTTGATGCTGGTGTAGAGGGCAAAGACATGAGTTCATATAAGCGGTATGTCGCGTGACCTTGGTTTGAATAAATGGTTCGGATAATGCGAGCTCAGTAACACGTTCGGAAATCGAGTCCTGTGACAAAATTTATTGGGATGCATAGAGGTCGCATAAATGGATTTTTAGTGCAACGACTAGAGCACTAGTAAAAGTGTAGCACTATTAATTATTCAAATAATAGAGGTTTTAGGCTTATCACAGTTTTGATGAGTTTATTCCATGTTACTTTTGCTTTATTTAACCCTTGATCACTAATCTATAAATTAATATGATAAAAATAATCAAATCATATAATTAAATACTTCATGTATTTTTCATAAATCATGCAATAATCATTTAATAATAATATATAATATAATCTAAAAATTCACAACAATAAATTATTCGTGTAGATTAATTTATAATATTGTTATGTAATCTAATA